TACCACCAGGATCTGTTCTGGATCCTCTTCTATTTGTGATTTTTTTGTAAATGATTTGGATGAAGAAGTGGAAGGGTGGATTAGCGAGTTCGCGGACGATACGAAGGTGGGTCATGTTGTGGACAGTGCGGACGGCTGTTTTAGGTTACAAAGGGACATTGATAGAATGTAGAGCTGAGCTGAGAAGTTGCAGATGGAGTTTAACCCTGAAAAGTGTGAGGTGATTCATTTTGGAAGGACAAACTTGAAAGCAGAATACAGGGTTAACGGAAAGATTCTTGGCAGTGTGGAAGAGCAGAGGGATCTTGGGGTTCATGTTCACAGTTCCCTGAAAGCTGCCACCCAGGTGGATAGAGTTGTTAAGAAGGCATATGGTGTGTTAGCTTTCATTAATAGAGGGATTGAGTTCAAGAACCGTGAAGTTATGCTCCAGCTATACAAAAGCCTGGTTCGGCCACATCTGGAGTATCGTGTCCAGTTCTGGTCACCTCATTACAGGAAAGATGTGGAAGCGTTGGAAAAGGTGCAGAGGAGATTTACCAGGATGTTGCCTGGAATGGAGGGAAGGTCTTACGAGGAAAGGTTGAGAGAGCTAGGGCTTTTCTCTTTAGAACGACGAAGGATGAGAGGTGACTTGATAGAGGTGTACAAAATGATCAGAGGTATAGATAGAGTAGACAGCCAGAGACTTTTTCCTAGTGTGGAGGTAGCTTTTACGAGGGGACATAGTTTTAAAGTGAGAGGAGGTAGATGTCAGAGGTAGGTTCTTTACTCAGAGTGGTAGGGGCGTGGAATGCATTGCCGGAGAGGGTAGTGGAGTCGGCCTCATTAGGGGCATTTAAGCGGCTTTTAGATAGGCATATGGATGATAGTATAAGATAGCGGTGGAGGTTAGATAGACCTTAGGTTTAGGGTAAAAGTTAGGCACAACATCGTCGGCCAAAGGGCCTGTACTGTTCTATGTTCTAAGTTAGTTCGGAAATCATGAACCTGTGGAATTTACTACCCCAGAGTGTCGTGGATGCCTAAGAATTATGTAAATTTGAGAAGGACGCATGCAGGTCTTTAATAATAGGTTGAAGGATTGTGGAGAGCGGGCAGGAAACTCGAGTTGAGGCTGAGGTGAGATCAGCCATGGTCACATTAAATCGTGGAGCAGGCTCAAGGGACTGAATTGCCTACTCCTGCTCCTAGTTCTTGTGTTTCCATGTAACAGGGAAAACTGCAAGATTGCATGTATGGGTTCTGCCTTTAACTGGAGACAATATCAGACCTCTTTATTTTTATTCTAATTCATTACTGTTTAATGCTTTCAAATGCTAACATTGTAAACAGCCAAACCAGATAAGTCTATATGAATCATATGATGATCCATGTTTTGAAATAAAGCAGTCAAAGAAATACAAGCTACCAGTATCTCAGTACTGTTTGTAACCACTCTGCACTCTTGACAGCAAACAGACTTAACTCTTGACGTGATGCATAATGCAGTTGTGTAACTGAACATCTCGATTTATATGCAGTTCTACCATGTTAAACAGCATTACCTTTTTTGATTGTTTGCTCTCTCTCTCTCTCTCTCTCTCTCTCTCTCTCTCTCTCTCTCTCTCTTATGCTACTGACTTCCTACTTGCTTGTACTACCCACTTTGCCAGTCTCCACTTTTTTTTTAAATCAACAGCTCAGTTAACGTTTGCGTGGCCCACACTCATACAATGTGTGCATTGTGTGTGCTGTTGAGATCTTGGCTTTATGCTCTTGTCGTGGCAAATGTGCATTTATGTTCACACCTATTTTGTACTCTCCCTTGTGTAAATGTGCCCTTTCTCTTGTTTCTCTTCTCAACACTTCTTCTTTTTAGTAGATGCTTCCCTCACATCTCCACTCTGCATGTTGTGTATCCCTTCTAGATTTGGGACGTTATGCACATAGCTGTACCTGTCTCTACTGATGACCCTCCCCCACCAACCCCCATTCTCGTCTCTTGCTCTTCCCCTTCTCTCTGGACCCCCTATTTTCCTTGCCCTTTTAGTGCCTAAACTGAGCTGTTCTATGCATCGAATAGGTTTAAATCTCAGACAGTTTAGGTAGACATGTACAATGCAAATTTAAACATGCATTTTTGTAAGCAATCCTTAGAAGTGAAGTTTTTTTTATTAAGATTTGGGTCATTAACCAGGTTTTGCACTGCATGTTATAAATAGGTGAAAAGAACAAACCAGGACAGACCAGTTAGTCCATGAATCCCACACAGTTCTGATACTTGGAGCATTTTGGTTAGAATACTCTTGTCTGATTTGTAAATAACCACACCCCCTGCTCTCACTCAACCTCAAAATTCTCTGTGAAGTCTTTGGAGATTTATCAGTGCCCAAGAACTGACCCTGTAGTTGTATTTAAATCTGCCTTCAATAAAAAGTGATCATCATCCAGCCTGCAACTGGTCATACTTTTTCTCCCCCAAGGGTTATATGAATCAGCAGCTTGTACTATAGGTTAACTTCTCTTCTCTACATCTAACCAAGCCCATTGCCTTTTTTTTTGTAACTTTAAAGCATGATCTCTGGTCTTTTCCATTCTCTTAAAATACTCAAAGAAGCACAATCTAGTCCTTTTAACTATTTTATATGTGTATGTTATCAAATCACTCTAAATGTGATCACCTGTAATGTGAATAGGCTTAGCTGTTTAATCTTCTAAACGGCTATTATAAAATTGAATGTATTCTTTTATAACTACTGTGAACCCATTCCGAAACCTCTGTCACTGACTGTGTATGAGAACACCAGAACTGGGTATCATATTCTCAATTTAGTCTAGCTATGACCTGGTATAACAACAAAATGGGTGTACCTTGTTTTATATTTAACATTTACTGCGAGCACAAATAGTGAATATTTCCTTTTGGTTATCACCGCTTGGCACTAGTCATGATTTTTTTTGAGAATTATAAATTGTTCTGTGTAAATTACAAGCATACAGTTGGTTCTGACCAAAGGTGTAACATTTATAATGGACAACACTTGTAAACTGGCTGACAGTCAGATCGACAGCAGTTAGACATTTTCTGGTTATGAGAATGCATTATAGGTATTTCTCACTGCCACAAAAATTAGTGAGGATTAGTTTCTTCCCACTTGCATAGCCACACATTAAGCTGTATTGCTGTTTGTCATGGAGAGCCACATAGAGAGTAGATACTGGTGAATGCCTTTCCTCTTTTTGTTCTTCAGTGCATTGATTACCTTTCAATCGACATGAAGCGCAACTGCACTTGCAAATCTTTTTATTAGTTGTGCATTCTGCTAAGATTATTCACCTTTAGCCCCTAGAAAAAATTGATTGAAGTTGAATGCACTGTTGAGCTTACTGTTGCTATGTAGTCCCTTTTTTATTCACTTTGTGGGATGTTGGTATCATTGGCTAGGCCAGGATTTGATGTCCTTGTGGAGGTGAGTTGTGACTTCCTTTTTCAATAGAGCAAGTGTGCTTGAGATCTAATAATAATGCTTGGAAGTTTTTCTTTGTAAAAATAATTTTAAGACAGCAGATACAAATTGTGTAATTTAGAAAAGCACAAAATTGATCAAGGACAGTCAGCATGGATTAATGAAGGGGAGGTGATGTTTGATCAACTGTTGCATTCTGAAGAAGATTCATTGAACCCAAAACATTAACTCTGTACAGAGAAGACGGATGCTGCCAGACTTGCTGAGTTTTTCCAGCAATTTCTGACAGGTCGGCATTTATTACTATCCCTAATTAGCCAGAGGGCAGATAAGAGGCAACCACGTTGCTGCGGGTCTGAAATCATGTAGGCCAGATCAGGTGAGGATGGCAGATTCCTTTCCCTAAAGGACATTAGTGATCCAGGTGGACTTTCTTGACAATCGATGCTGTTTGAGAGTGGTGAAGGCAAGTTCAATCCAAGCATTCCAGGGAATTGGATTATTATATGAAAGGGAAAAGTGTGCAGTGCGACACAGTGCGACAAGGAGAAAGTGGCATGAGATAAATTGCTTTATGGAGAACTGGAAAGGATACAGTTGGCCAAATGGTTGCCTCCTGTGCTGGACTAATTCTGAGATTTTATGAATATGCTTTGAAATTGCTTCAAGTTGTAATTATTTTTGATCCATGCTACTTATAAATCTGCACCAGAGGTTTACCTAGGTTTTGAAATTTGTGTCCAAATTTGTATTTTACATCTTCTGTACTCTTGGTCTGGAGGTCAGGTCTTGGGAAGGCGAAGGCCTAGTGGTATTATTGCTGGATTGTTAATCCAGATCCACAGAATGTTCTGCGGACTTGAGTTCAAATCCTACCGAGGCAGATGGTGGAATTTGAATTCAACAAATTAAAAATAAACTAAATTAGGAGTCTAATACTGACCATGAATCCATTGCCGAATGTCAGAAAAACCCATCTGGTTCACTAATTTCCCTTGGGGAAGGAAACGGCCATCCTTACCCTGGTCTGGCTACATGTGACTCCAGACCCGCAGCACTGTGGTTGACTATTAACTGCCCTCTGGGGAAATTAGGGATGGGCAATAAATGCTGTCTGGCGGGTGACGCCCTCATCCTGCGAATGAATTTTTAAAAAATCCAAATTTACTGTGTTTTTTTTTTGAAAAAGGGTCCCGACCCGATACATCAGCTTTCCTGTTCCTCTGATGCTGCCTGGCCTGCTGTGTTCCTTCAGCTCCACAATTTATCTCACATTACTATACTACTTTGCAGATATAGTGGCTTTATCAGAGTTGTTTCCCCTTAGGAAACTATTAGACAGCTATTGTCAACTGAAACTGACACTGAAAAAAAAATGAAAGGCCCTTTCCAAGAGCTCCTTGGTAATACCCTGACAATCCCTTCATACAGGAAAAGAAATTGGAATATTTGGCACACGGTGACTTCCTGGAAAACCTCTGGCTACTCTTCAGTATGAACAAATATTTAAATTGTGTTTTGAAAATTACTAATTCACTGCTTTTATTACAGGTGAGCAAAGATTGTGAAAAATTAAAGGTAAGCAAGATTATTTTCCACTGGTTTCCAATCCACTGATTGTTGTACTGGATGATTTTATTTCTTCCAGTAGCTTTCAGTTTAATTCATGTGGAAATGGATCTAAAGTGTCCTCTTAGTTTGCTAAATAACTGCTATTGCAAATGCATGTAGTAGAGTACGGTGTAATAAATTTGAATCTAAAGGAAATGCAATACGTATATCTTCAAGTGCCTCTATACTTGGGTTATTAAAGAAATAACATTCAAGTGTAATTGACTTCTTTTTCTCTCTAGCCAGATATTTGTTTACTGATTTGTGACCTGTAAATCATATCAATTAATATCATGTTAAAGTTAGGTTATTTTCTCAAGTATATACTTTTCAGTTGGGTGATTTTGAAATGTGATTGCCATAGTTTATTTGTGCCTTTAGTACTCTTATTAAGCTTTAAAATTTATTTTTTATTTTTATCTTTAAGAAAACAAACCTTTGGTTATATTAGTCTTGTGTGACATTTTAAGAATATTATTCTTCCATTTAATGTGGGTGTCACCAGCAAGGCCAACATTTATTGCTGATCCCTAGTTGCCCTTGAATTGAATGGTCTTCTAGCCCATTTTGGAGAACAGTTAGGAATCGACCACATTGAGGTGGGTCTGGAGTCACAGGTCAGACTAGGCAAGGATGGTGAATGTCCTTTCCTGAAGGATATTTTGTGATCCAGATGGTTTTTTTATGACAATTAACAATGGTTACATGGCCTCCATAATTCAAGATGTATTAATTTAATGCAGATTTAACCCGCTGTCATTTTGGGATTTGAACCCATGTCCCCATAACATTAACAACCTTTCTGAAGAAGGGTCACTGGAGTCAAAACACTAACTCTGCTTTCTCTCCACAGATGCTGCCAGACCTGCTCAGTTTTTCCCAGCATGTTCAGAATAATTTAGCTATATTCTTAAGACCTGTTTTCTTCAGTGCTATATTATATGATTAGACCAGTTGTGTTCGTGCCACTTTAAGCTCATGCGCATTGTGCCACATCACTGATGTGTCCACTTGTCAATGCAGACTTTTTTCTGCATCTCTCAAAGCACAAGCAAAACATTGTGTTGACATGCCAATCTATTGGTACCTTTTTTCTCCGAGAAATGAAATATGAATTGTTGAGTAAAAGCTTTTTCAACCGATCTCATTTTAGCAATATTCTGCTTCTAGGTGTGTTTCAAAATGTTTTTAACGTAGGGCCTTTGCAATTTGAGAGAGAGATGCCCAAGAAGGGCAGCAGGGATGCAAAGGCCTGTGAATTAGGAATGGAACAAATTTGTCTTTGGACAGTGTGAGACACCTGTCAGGACAGTCATATCAAACTGATAGTTCTTTTTTTTTTTGTTTATTGGCTATCTCACGAAGAACATTCATTCATGCGCACACCTTAAGTGGTAAGGGTCAGCGGGTGATTATGGGTGACAATGTAGCCAAGCCTAATTTTCTTTCTACCTCCTATATCTTCCAGGAGGGCTCATTGGAACACAGTTGGAGGATGGGTGGAATATAGCTGCCTTTCCATTACCTTGTCTAGAGGTGGTAAGGCCAATTGCAATATTCCATCTGCTGACCTAGCTCAGATTTGCCAAATGAAAGAAACTGTTTTGAACTTTGTGGTCTGTTTGGTTTAGATCTAGAAATCACAAGACAGCTGTGATGAGAAAATCTATTCAACCTAGTCACTGCATCTAGTAAGGATAGTACTGCACCTCCTCCACAATAACACTCAATGCTGAAGGGCCCCCCCATCCCCCAAGAATGTGTGTCCTCAGCCCCTCACTGTACTCCCTGTACACCTATAACTGTGTTGTCAAATTCTGAACGAACGCCACCCCAGTGAGATGGATATCTAACAATGACGAGTCAAAATACAGAAGGGAGAGGATTTGGTGACATGGTGCAATGAAAACAATCTGACTCAACGTCGGCAAAACTAAAGAACTGATTATCGACTTCAGAAAGAAAGGAGGAGAACACACCCCCGTCTACACCAATGGAACTGATGTTGTGAGGGTGGAGAGCATCAAGCTCCTCGGTGATAACCGATAGCCTGTCCTGGACTTCCCACGTAAATGCGGCAGTCTCTGGTCAACTACTGCTGGCCTAGCCATTAAAAATTGAATATTAAAAAATCAATATTTTTTAAAAATACCAAATTCATTTCAACTTGCAGGTTTGTGGATTGAATCATTGGATGCACTAAGCGTCAGATTTATAACTTTAAACTTTATCCCCGAAAAAATTGTAAAGCAATTTAGGTCACAACTTCCTTAAGTTCTTCTCTGTTCTCAGTCTGCTTTTTAATCAGTCTGTTTAGTTGTATTAAGACACAGCTCTGGAGCAGGTGGGACTTGAACCTAGGCCTTCTGGTTCAGAGTTCAGGACACTATTTCAGTGCCACAAGTGCCCTCAGCCCCTTCTCTCATTAGAGTGATGCCTGTGCTCTGTTCAGCACCTCCTTGTTCTAATGTGACTGAGCTGGGGAGCTCAGCAGAATGGGATATGGATATGTTCTGTAGAAGGGTCATTGGACCTGAAATAATAGAACTGTAGAAATGATACAGCAAAGAAGGGGGCCATTTGACTCATCTTGTCCATGATGACGCAAAGATATCTAAATGTCCTTTTCTAATCCCACCTTCCTGCACGTGGCCCATAGCCCTGCAGCTTGCAGTGCTTAAGGTGCAGAACCAGGTACATTCTGAAAGGTGTTTCGGGTGACTGCCTCCACCACCGACTCAAGCAGTGGATTTCAGACACCCATCACCCTCTGCATTTTTAAAAAAAAAAGTTACTTTTTCTTCACGTCCCTCTAATCCTTCTGCCACCTAGCTTCAATCAATGACCCCTGATTTCTGAACTCTCTGCTAAGGGAAAACCATTTCCTCCTGTCTACTCTATCTCCACCCCTCTCAGTTTTGTATACCTTAATCATGTGACCCCTTCAGTCTTCTCTGTTCGAAAGAAAACAACCCTAATCTTCCCTCATACAGTTCTCCAGTCCTGGCAACATTCAAGTAAATTTCCTCTTCACACACTCGAGCAATTTGTCCTTCTTATTATGCGGTGACCAGAACTGCACACGTTACACCAGTTGTGGCCTCACTGATTTGTCTTATACAGTTTCAACATTCTGTCACCTCCTATATACTTCTGTCACTGAAGGAGAGCATTTTGTATGCTTTCTTTTAAAACCTTATCAACCTGTACTGCTACCTTTAGGGACCACTTGCCTTCCACGATCTCTCAGTTCAGCTACCCTTCTCAGTATATTCCATTTTATTGTGTATTTCCTTTTTACTGTTTGACCTCCCTAAATGCATTACCTCACACTTATCAGAGTTGAACTCCATCTGCTACTTTCCTGTTTGCTCCACCAAGCAATCGATATCGTTTTGGAGATTACAGCTGTTGTCTGCACTTTCTGCTACACGGCCCATTTTTGTGTTGTCTGCCCATTTCCCAATTGTGCCCCTAAGTTCAAGTCCAAATCATTAATGTATAAAACAAACTGCAGGGGTTGCAATACAGAGCCCTGTGGTACATCACTTGAAACAGCTTTGTATTCGCAAGGGCAACCATCAACCGTTCCCTTTTGTTTCCTGTTACTAAGCCAACTTTGGATCCAATTCAATACATTACCCTGTATCCCATGGGCTTTTACTTTTTTGATCAGTCTGCTATGTGAGACCTTGTCACATACCTGACTAAAATCCATGTATACAACATCCACTGCACTATCCTCATCGATCCTCCTCATCAATTTCTCAAAGAATTCAATCAGATTTGTAAGGCATGACCTTCTCTTAACAAAGCTATGCTGACTGTCCGTGACTAGTCCATACCTTACTAAGAAACGACTGCTTTCTCTTGACGGATGCTACCAGACCTACTGAATTTTTCTGCTATACCTATTTTGTTTCCAATTTCAGCACCTGCGCAGTTTGTTTTTGTTGGGATGTTGATTTGGCTTGCCACAGTGCACTGGAGCAGCACATATTTGATACAAATGCTTTATATATGCAAAGTAAATGTCACAACATTTTCTTAAATCATGAATAAGGAACCCTCAATGACATCTGTTAAGTTTCAGATGTTGATTCATATGTTGTAAATTCTGGCTGAACTGAAATGGCTACTTAGTGAAATTAAACCAAGGCTAATGTAAAACTGGTTGTAAACATATAAACAAATATTCCAGATACTTGCTTTTAAACAAAATTGTGATTTATCCTGTATACTTTGCTGAGTAGCTCATACATTCCAGAAACATGAGATGAGTCACTTTTATCCTTGCCAATAATAAATCATGAACTACTTAACATGCAGCTTGGAGAGAGCAAATGAATTAACTCTACTCTTCCCCTTAGCACTCTAGACAAGAGAAAATCTGATATTTATGCGGATATGCCATACCATACATGTTTGCATTCCTGTGCTTCTAATCGAAATCTGCAACTTTGGAATTTTACAAACGCTCTGTGCAGGCAAAACAGTTGGAAGGAGGAGCTTAAAAGTAAATGCTTTTATAAATTTTTCATCTTGCAAAACAATAATTTGAAGCAGTATTAAAAAACCAAGAGCTTGCTATTTTCAAAAGCAATTGTCAGTGAATCAAATCCCTGTTAAAGTATCTGCTTAACCTGTATTAAGATTAATTTGATGCTGTTTGCTCTGCAAATTTCAAATAGATTCAATATGAAATATATTTTGTTATTAATTGCTGCCATTAATTAAAGGATAAAGTTTCTGTGTTTAACTGTTATATATTGTGCTATAAAATGTAGTTGAAAGTGTTTCCTTTATGAAAGATAACTATAAAAGTAGTAGTTAACAAATCAAACTGACATCCGAATAGTTAAAAAACAAAAGTAATAGTTTGGAATTGATTTGCCTCCAACTTCATTGTTTATATCCTCGTCTGTAACTTGTTGGCTAGAACAAATGTGCAGGTATTTTTCCAACCATTGCATTCGACTGTCATTCTTGATTATCATACGTGAAGCCAGTTACCCAATTTGCTTTGCAGAATTTTCCAGCAATTGTGGAAATGGGTTAGTGGCATAATGTTTGGATGCACAATCAAACAAAACACTCCAATTTTGGAAATATTTTGTTAGCTTATAAATGGGAATTATTTATTTTGATAAGCATTCTTAAGTTAATTTTTTTTGACTGATTTAATTGCTTTTACAAATGGTTTTTTTTTTTGTTGAATCTGACTTGGCACATTTACCTAAGCTGATCTCATTTAATAGTAGGAGTTCAACATCTGAATTTAGTTAGCAGTCTCTGGCCTTTTGATATCTTCAAAATTCAGAATCAGTTTTACTTTTCTGCAGCTATCATAATACTTGTTTCAAACCTAACAAAGAATGTCCATTCATAAATTAGTTGAAGCTGTACATTTTTGTGGAACCGACTTGATTTGCACTGGATAAACTAATGAGTTATTAGAATGTGTTTATTTGTTTACAAAGCAGAATGACGCAACCCAACCTCCAAAAGGATAATAGTGTTTGGATGAAAGCAAAGTACTGCAGATGCAGGAGATCTGAAATAAAAACAGTGCTGGAGAAATTCAGCAGGGCTGGCAGTATCTGTGTAAGGAGAAACTGAGTTTAATGCTTCAAATTGTTTTTGAAGATTGTCTTAGTGTTTGATGTTCTTTTTATGTTGCTTGCATCTGATTACTCTGAAAAGTATCTCACTTTTGAAAACCCTGTCTAGGGAGGGCAAAAAAACAAGCTGTAGTTGACTGTTCTGGTCTTGCTTCACATTCTTGCTTAACTGTGCCATTCTTTAAAGTTTTTTTTCCAGAAGATTTGTAGCTCAGGCTGTGGATGAGGTTGTAGACATGCCCGCCGAACCTGTTGGTTTGATTGCAAACATTTTGTCACCCTGCTAGGTAACATCATCAGTGCACCTCTGGTGAAGAGTTGGTGTTCTGTCCTGTTTGTCATTTATATGCCTCGGTTTGCTGCAGTGATTGGTATTACTTCTGGTTCTGTTTCTCAGTGATTTGTACACTGGGTCTAACTCAGTGTGTTTGTTGATGGAGTTCCAGTTAGAATACCAGGCCTCCAGGAAGTCCCTGGCGTGTCTCTGTTTGGCTTGTGCTATAATGGATGTGTTGTCCCAGTTGAATTTGTGTCCCTTGTTGCCCGTGTGTAGTGAGACAAGTGAGAATTGGTCATGTCTCTTGGTGGCTAGTTGGTGTTCGTGTATCCGGATTGTCAGATTTCTTCCAGTTTGGCCTATGCAGTGTTTCTCACATTCCTTGCATGGTATTTGTATATTACACCGGTTTTGCTGCTTCTGGGATATAATAATAATAATAAATAATAACATTATTATTATTATTAATAATAATAATAACCAACAATAACAATAACAACAACCCATTGCATAGGCCAAACCAGAAGAAATCTGACAATCCGGATACACGAACACCAACTAGCCACCAAGAGACACGACCAATTCTTACTTGTCTCACTACACGCGGACAACAAGGGACACTAATTCGACTGGGACATTTTACACTACAGGAGGAGACATTCAGCATATCATTCCTGTGCCAACTTTTGAAAGAGGGGCCAATTATGATCATTTACCACTTTCTTAAGAACAGAAGTAGGCCATTTAGCCCCTCCAGCCTATACCACCATTCATTTTGTCATTTTATGTAAATGATTTGGAAGTGAATATGGCAGGAATGGTTAGTGAGTTTGCAGATGACACCAAAATTGGTGGTTATAGTGGACAATGAAGAAGGTTATCTCAGAGTACCACAAGACTTTAATCAGATGGGAATATGAGTGGCAGATGGAGTTTAATTTAGATAAATATGAGATAAGGCAAATCAAGGCAGGACTTGTACGGTTAATGGTAAGGTCACAGGAATGTTGTCAAACAGAGACCTTTGGGTGCAGGCTGGGGCTATTTTCCAGAGCGTCGGAAGATGAGGGAGATGGAGAATGTGAATAATCAACACAGTAGGGGAATCCAAAACTAGAGGGCATTGGTTTAAGGTGAGAGGGGAAACATAAAAGGGACCTGAGGGGCACCCTTTTCATGCGGACGATGATGCATGTATGGAATGAGCTGACGAGGAAATGGTGGAGGTTGGTACAATTGCAACATTTAAAAGGCATCTGGATGGGTACATGAATAGGAAGGATTTGGAGGGATGTGGCCAAAATCTGGCAGATGGGACTAGATTAATTTAGGATATCTAGTCAGTATGGACAAGTTGGACCAAAGGGTCTGTTTCTGTGCTGTATAACTCTATGCCTCTATGACAGTGCATCGATTAATTGCTCAAGCCAAACAGAGACACACTAGGGAATTAATTCCTAGAGGCCTGCTATTCCAACCGAACTCCATCGACAAACACATTGAATTAGACCCCATGTACAAATCACTGAGAAACTGAACCAGAAGTAATACCAACGACCCCAGAAAACCGAGGCATGTAAATAACAAGCGGGACAGAACACCAACACTTCAGAAGCGCACTGACTATGTTACCTAGCAGGGTGATGAAACGTTTGCAACCAAACCCACCGGCTCGGTGAGCAAGTCTACAACTTCAGTGCAGTTCTATGGATGTTAGGTGTGACGTAATCTGAATCTGTAGAGGTAGAAAAATTGTCACCCTTTTAAGTTTAATTAATGTTGATTTATGTACAAAGTTCACCACATAATTAGGAATGAGAGCTGCTATTTGCTTACGTGGTTAATTCTAGACACTTTGTTTGCAGAAGAATTGTGTGACATTCACTGAAGTTTGAGATGGTACACTTAGCTTATTAAGCTTAAATGTGCAGTTAAGTGTTGTATTTGGACAGGGGTGCAACATTTCTGCAGTCATCAGGCACTACCCCTGAATCTAAAGAAGATTGCAAAATTCTGGCCAGTGTTTTTGCAATTTCTACTGTTAATTCTGAAGTGCCCATGGATGCATTTCGTTCAGTCCAAGTGCCACCTTCGTGCAAACAGTTTGCCTAATTAAACCACCACCTAAATTTTTAAACTCTTCAAGTATATGATTACCTCCTCTTCCACTTTGATCTGTGCAGCACCTTCTTCCTTTTGTTAAGTCAATTGCTAAATATTCATTTAATTTTTCAACCTACCCCCCCCTCCCTGGCTGCTTTATTTCCTACAGTGACTGTTTTTACAGCAAGGCTCACTAAATATAAAGTACTTCAAAATGTCCTGAGGTTGTTTTAAAGTTGTTGGGGCATCGGAGAGTGTGCCTCTATTTTGCTGGTGACAAAAGGGCAACTTGGAATGGAATATATTTTTTGTCAAAATAAAGTTTAAAATTATGAAGAACTTTCATTTCCTGCAGCTCAAATTTTTGAGACTAGCTGCTGCTTTTTTCAACCTATATTGACTTTGACTTTCATTCTCTTTGCACATACACACACTTTGCAGTGGCACTCATAGAAGTCGCAGCAAATGAAAAGCAAGTTTCTGTGTTTCCTTAAAGCAGAATTAGTCATGGAAAATTGCTGCTGTAGTGTGTCTGGGACCTCATTGTCCTTGGCCTAATCTTCAGCTGTGTTATCAATGGCCTTCCTGTTGTCATTGGTGAAGAATAGGATTATTTGCTGGCAATCTGTTATACTCCATTTGTATCTCATCCAATAAAAAGCCTCCCATGCCAGCTTCCAGAAACCTGATTAAAAGCTAAGCTTGATCCAGTAGATTGGCGTGAAATTTGCTCCATGATGGTACCAGTTGGTGACCATCTCGAAGAAGAGAAAGATTAATCAATTCACTGTAACTTTCCAAGCTCCACATGTAGACCAGACATTTAGCTGGATTGGCCATATTGCCACAGTGACTGCAAGAACAAGACAGCACCTTGACATTTCTGGCCATGTTTTTCTTTAATTTTACTTTGTACGTATTCTGCAATACTTTTCAGGGTATTGTGTGTTTGCTCAACTTAGAGTGAACATTGCTGCTACAAAGGTGAAGTGATGTAACAGTTGATGATCGGATGGCTGCAACCCCAATAGGATTGACAATATGAAGGGAAAGGCAGTTCATTTGATTGGCAGCTCCCACCAGGCTCATTTTCCATCAGTGTTTAATATGCAGTATGTACAATCTAGAAGCTATATTGCAGCAGCAAATCTCATAGAATATTTTTAGCATAGAACAAAGCCATTCAGCCCATCAAGTCTCTGATTGAGAAAGCACAATCAAATTGATCCCACAGTCCAGCACTTGGTTCATAACCTGACGTTCATGAAGTGCCATAAGCTAAGAACAGGGATGTAATATTGAAACTTTATAAATCATTAGGCCACAGTTTGAGTACTCTTCCAGTAGTCTCATTACAGAAGGGGTATAATTGCATGAAAGTGGGTGCAGTGATAACTTACATGAGTCTTTGTCATGACTGGAAAATTGCAGCAATGAAGAAATGTCGCATAGGCTGGGATTTTTGTCCTTGGATAAAGAAAGCTGAGGGAAGATTTAGTTTGAGATGTACAAAACTGTGAGGAGCCTGAATAGGATTAACAAGAAGAGCTATGTAATTGAGCACAGAAGTCAGTGACTAAAGGGTATAGGTTTAAAGTGACTGATAGAAGGAA